TCTGCTCCTACTTGGCAAACAACATGTCTGCTGGGAAAAGGGGAGAAGGAAGGGAATAGCTGTGGAGACCAAAGTCACCCCTGCAGCACCTCTCTGCACCGTCCTCTGGTGAGCGTAAGGAGCCAAGGGCAGATATGGTCAGCAGGACCACGGAGATTTGCCCTGTGTCACTAAAGAATTTCCAGCTGCCTGGCAAGCACTCAAGCTTCCTTCATTACAGCAGAGCTGAAATAAAACAAACAAGGCAACGAACACGCTGCATCAGGCAGGGTACGGGGAAGGGAGCTCCTTGGGGCAGACTGAGCAGTCAGCAGGGGTGCTCGCACAGCCCCAACCCTGCAAAGGCAGCGACTAAAGTTGAGATGGGGGCGAGAGAGCTATCAGCAGACAAGAGAAGAGGCTGGTCCCAGTCCCTGACAACAGCAATTTAACTTTTCTGGAACTTTAAGAGTCAACAGCAATTTTACCCAGAGGACTCCAACCTCCTGAGGCAGAAGCCTCCCACTACAGCCATCAAAGCTGTAACAGGACCGTCCCCAAAAGCACCTGCTGATCCCACCGCTCCTCGTCCCCCTTCCCAAGGGGATCAAAATGAGATGCAGCAACACACAAGTCAGGCAGTGGAATAGGAAGAACAACCCGGAAACTAGCCATGGGCGATTTTCTGGGTCCTGTTTGACGGATCAGAGACAAGGCTATTTGGCAGCTCGCACAGAGGACACCCAGAGAACTGGCACCAAGACAGAGACCAAACTTGGCCTAACTCTCCAGACTGCTGATTGCTCAGCTTTTGATAGCTTCCTGAAGAAAGATCACACTGGAAGTGCCAAACACGATGACTGCAATGAAGAAAATGCAGCTTCAACACATTTCCCCAGAGCTCAAAAGGCCTGAACTCAGCACAAGCGCAGCCAATTCTCTCCTCAGCTCAAAGGCAACACAAGGGAGCTGACAGCACCGCGCATGATTCAACGCAGGCCCCATTCTCCGCATTCCTGATCGCAGAACCGTGCCACGAGCCCCGTGTAAACACGGTGACGTCACCCGTTCCAGCGCAGGCTGGCCCAGAGACGGCGCTGGGAGGGAGGAAGAGAGGGAGACCCATCCGTAGGGACAGGGAGGCAGAGGAAGGAGCTGTGCTCCACAACGGGCTCTGCAGCACCGGGCGGGCGGAGGAATGTGGTTTGCTGGCAGCAGCTGGGCACGCCGCACGAGAACTCTCTCCCGGTGTGGATTTCATACTCTGTTTATTTGCTTTCTCAGAACTAGCTCACACAGCCCTCCCAGGAATCCAAACAAATTGGACAACTCCCCCCCAGTTACGTACGAAGTCAGGACAGCACCTCTCCTGTGCCACCCCCCTCCCCTGGGGAGTCCCTGGTGAGCTCACACCCAACCCAGGGCACTTTGACTGCAATTCTTCCCTCACGGAACCCGCACACCCAGCTGGCTTTAACTCTGCGTACACAGATAAAGAAAAGAGCCGGCTCTCGGAGACCCCTTCCAGCCTCCTGGTAGCTCCTTCCTCTAACCGCGCAGCTCAAACGTTGCGTATCCTGGGCAGAGACGTCCCCAGCGCTGGACAGCAAGACCCCTCCGTGCACACACACGCACAGACGCTCCGTGTCGGTCAGGCGTTGCAGCCTGCCCCCGCCCCCGAACCTCCCCTGGAGAGGCTTCCTGCCCACCACAGGGAACCCGCTCAGCTCCGAGACGCTGCAGCGCTGAGCACCGAGCAGACCCGCAGCCCCAGCCCGCTCCTGGCGCCCACCGGGCAGCGGGGGCACGCA